TCTCTCTCTCTCTCTCTCTCTCTCTCTCTCTCTCTCTCTCTCTCTCTCTCTCTCTCGATCACTCTCACGCCGTTATAAAAAATTGATTCGTTTCACCGGAGACTTATCGTTTAACACTTTCCCATATCCCTCCTCGCCAAGTCCCTTACCCCGACCTTAAAATTAAAGCTCGTCCGATTCGCGTGGTGGATGATCTCCCCTCTCCCCAATAGATGTTGCACCCGTTGGCTTATGAAAAATATTCTTCGAAGACAACCGCGTGGCCCATCACAGATAGTTCCGACGTCGGAGGTACAGGGGGTTGCTGCGTCGCGCAGAAGACGAAAGACGTGCAACACTTTCAACATTGTTCGCGTGATCGGTTTTCCCTCTAAAATTTAAACTTATTAAGGTCGTTCCTTATGTTCGTACGTATGTATATGTATATGTAACAAGAGTTCCTTCATTTTCTTTGGCTATGTACACGTGTCCGCTCCGTCCCGTCTTCGTTCTATCGAACCACGTATCAGAACGGAGCCTCGCCCTCTCCCCTGGAGGGTGATCGATCGCGTCCACTCGATCGGGGTAGTTTGTTTTGGGGCTCTCTCTGTCCGTTCGTCGCCTAGAAACGACAGAGTCGTCGAGGACACGATCGCCCCAGGGGACGATGGTCGCTTACGGTAAAGGCGCGGTTGTTTCTAATATTTACATGCCACACCGAGGACCACGAAGTCAGGTCGGCACTCGCAGGTCCCCGGAGGGGTCCTGGGCTTTATTTAATCTTTAAGGCAATGTCGTTCGTCCGGGCGGGCGAATACGAGTTCTTCCAGGTTCGTCGGCCGACAACTGAGGAGACGTGCGTTCGAACCCTTCGGCTCGACCCTCGCACGAGTCGAGGAGTCACCAGGTAATCTTCGAGTCCCACAGCAGAGCCAAGACGATCGGCTGCCACAGCCAGGATCGTTCCAGATCCTGGCCGACGCGGTAAGATGTTTCGAATTCGACTTCGAAGCACGGCCCCGTGTGTCATACGGGCTCCTCACGCTTGAAGTTGATGTTCTGCGAGGCGCAAAAGTCGCGCGTGAACGGGATGCAGTTGAACAGCTTGCAGACCTCGCACTCGTACACCGGCACGTTGTAGAACAGGGTTAGGAGGAGGGTGAAGAGGACCACGATGAGGATCAGACAGATCCAGATCAGCCAGACCTTGCGACGACGATCGTAGTGGCCGAACGAAATGAAAGGCATCAGGGCGTACGCGGCTAGAAAGCCAAAGATGAACCCGAAGAGGTGGGCGTAGTTGTCCACCCATGGCAGTATGCCCAGCACGAGCAGGCCCAGTAGGATAAAGATCAACTTCGACAGGGCTCGTCGAGGGTGCTTTAGCATTGGCCAACAGTGCAGGACTTCGACGATTAGGGTCGCCAGAAGGGCGAAGTGCGCGCCTGCTGGCCCGACCTGCAACAAGCGATGACGTTTGTTAACAGTGGTCCTGTTGGTTCTTTGATGTAAATGTTTATGGTGTTTATTTGCAAGTACGATTGGGAAAAATGTTAGTTTAGGATGGGAGAAGCGCCATTACTACTGACAAAGTTGAATTGTAGGGGAACTTTTAGGAGATAAACAGGGGATTAATGAAGTCCCGATTTATGGCTTGAAGTTTTAAAGTGAAAAGTTAAATTAGGAATCTTCATCAGGGTTATGTTGCAAATAGATAAGCATACTGGACGAATTAAATATGAATGTAAAATATAGTATTATGTGCATATTATATAAATATAAATATATGTAAATGTGTATATAAATTCGTTTCATTATACCGAAAGGAAGAAATTCTCGTAGCATAAAATTTATCTTTAAAATTGTGGAAACCACCTCATTAATTTTTACGTGCTCTGCTCTGGTATACTCGCGCATAGGTAACAACATTATTATGATGCACAAAATTAAAAAAGCCCCAGGTGTACGAACTGTTTGGCTTTTGCAAGTCTGTAAAATATTTTCTCCTGTATTTAAATTTTACGCAATGGGTTTTCCTAAAAGAAGCTTTCAAATTTTATTTTTAACCAAACACAAGCGGTATACAAGATTACAATTAATTTTAAAGGATGATGTGAATGTAGACAAACGTATTTTATTATTAAAAAATAAAATTCTAAAATCCTTTTGGTAACCTCCAGATTTCCAGATATAGTAACTATAGGAAAGGTGAACTTGCCCTGTACCTTCCAAACTAACAAACTTATTCAAACGCTCTGTTTCAGATGGACCACCCTAACCCTTTCTGAAATCAGCGTTCGGTATTGCAAGCACGAAACTCGTGGACGCGTGAGACTGGCCCCAGTAGAATAAATGGAGGAAACAATAATTAACACTGTATCGCTTAGAGATATAGTTCTCAGGGATCGAGGGTACGTTCAACAAAACTAATTGGAACAAATTGGGCTCACCGAGAACGCCGCTTTCCGTTCGCTTTATCCTTCTGGCGTTTCTCCTTGTACACAACTTCTCCCCGAAGTGAAAGGAAACAGTTGGAAACAGAGACGTGGGAATGGAATTGACGTATAAATCCAAGTTCATCGAGGTATTAAGGGTTAAACTATCGAGCAGTAAGACGCCCGGAGTACGCGAACGACGCAGTAAAGCAAACGATTCTAATACCGTTTCCTTATCCGTGCAGATATGAGTCGCGACGCAAGGTGGCCCTCCCTCCCAGAGCAATTATTCCAGCCTTGACGGGTCGAAGAGTCGATTAAATCGACGATACACAACGGAACGGTCCGTTAAACGTACCGTGAGATTATTCAATTAAAACTTCGTTCCACGGTTAATAAAATCGTGGAGCCTGGGTAATTGCGGAGAGATCTGGATTATAATTTCTGATGAGGGTGGTCGCTGTTTCCCTCTTCAAATGCGTTCTTGGGATCGACAAATGACGATCGCTGATTTGCATTTAGTCCGGGAAGCGCAAATGAACAATGTTTGTCGGATAATCGAGTTCGGAAGTCGGTGCTTCAGGGGTGGGTGGGTGCGAGTATAAATATTCAGTGATCGAAGGGTGCGTTGGCTTGTACATATATTCCATGATATTTACGGAGTGGATTTTTTAAAAAATTATTACAAAACTAAGAAGGTGGGTAATTCAATATCGAAGGGTGAGGAGGTATAATTTTTTAAAGGTGCTTCAATGAAATTAACTGTGTGAGCTTAGGCAAAACTCGTCCTAATTTTTATGTGATATGTTATAAATTACATTCTCTAAATTAATATGTTAAAAGAAGTGGATATTCTTTCACAGTATTTGACAATAATAAAATTCCACGTATCTCGTAGAACTTAACGCGTTCCCTGTCTATCAAACCGCACATGGCACACGTATTTCTCAAGCCTGTGATTGTACTAAATATAATACTGTTTCTCTAATCGGTGACGTATGTATGTATATATCGAAACGACTACTTACCTCCGCTCTATAAGGAATGAATATGGCACTGGCCAAGTTCCCAGCTAGAGCCCCGGTAAAGTAGATCAGCGCGATACGTAGCGAGCCCGTCAGTTTCTCCAAGTCTCGCATCAAGAAATACTGAACCATTATTGTGATGGATAAGTGAAGAACCCTGCAAGCAAAACGCGAGATCGTGTATTACCAAACACTGTCCAGTAAGGCATCGTTGGTTAGTCTATTCTATACAAAACAATTTGTCCCCGAAGAGCAATTATAATTTCTCCAGAAAAGACTTCACGTGGACCTTACCCGGCGTGAAGAAAAGTGGTGGTGAAAAGCCTGTAGAACTGATCCGGCCACTCAGGATGAAGAAAGGGAATCATGCCGCAGACGTCGTGCAAACACTCAACCTGGGAACAGAGCGACGCCTCTTCGTGGAAGTACCCATGCACGAAGTCGCAGTACTCCTTCGTGGTGATTCGGCACATCCCGTGGATACCGATGCAACAGGGATGACCGATCACCTCGCACACCATGTGCTCCGCCATCTTGTCTTTATAACGACCCACTGGGAAGTTTGCACTCCCTCGTTGACTCCCGTTTCTACTATTTATCAACATAAAGGATTTGCCTCCATATTAACCATTCGACAAACAGGAACCATAGAGAGAAATTGGTAGAATAGGTATTAGAGCTTGTGTAGATAAATTTGGATAGACCAGTTCAAAGGCTGCTTATTTAATACTGAATATCATATAGTTACTGATATTTAAAAATTGTTGTCAAGCCTTTCACTGTAGTTGTATTGAAATTTGAAATATTGAATGCGGAGTATGGTGAAAAACGAGTACAACGAAAAAGGTATTATTAAAGATGGAGTGGAGTGTTGAGTAATGACGTTGAATTTACCTGAAACGTTGATTGAAGGGATTAGTCTTCCGACAGATGGGCCATTTGGTGATGTCGTCTGGCCACTCGTACGGCGCTATACTTGCTGGCGCATCGCAAAACTTCGGATCCAACCCGCAAACAGATCCGCTTATGCGACCACCGGGTCCGCTGTCCCCAGGTCCCCATTTTTTCCAGGTCGATATCGTGTTCTACAGTTTTCAAAAGCATCGCACACGATGAGCACTTCGTTGGATTCATCTTTGAGGTATAGTGCTTGTGAATTGTATCATGCAGTACAACAATTTCGTTGCAGAAATTATAACGATACAAAGAACTTAATAACGGATAACAAAAATTGTGATCGTAATTAATAGTTTACATCGAGAATTTAGACCATTTTTTTAGTGTTCTGGGGACTCTTTTTTCACGAAGTTATTAGTACTGAAGTAACCTAGGGAAAGGCCGCAATTCTTTCATTGTTGGCAATACACAGCAACAAGAATTATCAGTGTTGAAAATTGATTTACTTATGATATTATGTCTTTTTATAGAAGACTTAGTTTTTATAGATTTATAAACATTGTTAACTTCCTTTTACGTAATTTGATTCACTGATTAAAGAGCGGATGCCAATATGAATTTCGTGCAAAATTAAAACGTAGCTTTTGTATCGCATCGAACACAGGTCCTTGAATAAAATTAATATTTTTTTATGTCTCTATGAAACAGCTAATAGCCTAGATGCACCAAAAAAAAAAGAAAAATGAAAAAACGGAGAGTAACTTAATAATTTCACTGAAATTTACCGTAGCAGTCGATCTCAGTCCCCGGACCAGTTGGTTCGCAAAAGAGAAGATCATATTATAAATACGAACAGGAGAATCCGAAAACTATACACGTTCACAGAAATGGGCAAAATTTGCACTCAGAGATGAACTTTTGATACATTTTATTCATAATTAAGGAGCAGATTGAAAGAGAAATGCAAACTTAATACGACTAAACAGATGAAGTTAGGAATTATTGAAAAATGCTTTTGTAATTGATTTCTCTATAAAAATAGAGATCATATTATAAACATAGATAAGAGAAGTCAACATGCATATTTACAAAATTTCATAAAAATCTCACTTGAATATCAAATTTCAGATTTAGAATTAAAGACAACATTTGATTCATAATTAAGAAATCGTTTTGAAAAAGACTATCGACATACACCGACTAATTTGAAAAATGTTTTTCCGCTGATTTCTCTTTAAAACTGGATCGTATTATCTACTTTTACCAGTACAGAGTCTCTATTCGCCACCTATTATTCGAACAAATGTTTGCCCATCTGTTCGTTGCTTTGTGGTTTATTTCAGGGTAGAAACTGGGTAACAACTCACAGAGCAATCCGCTTTACTAGACTGCACGCAGCCGGAGTCGTCGTTTCTGATGCAGCAGGCAGTGTCGCGTTCTCTTTCCCGCCAGACGTCGATCTCCTTCAGAATTTTAATATCGCGACGCATACACGGCGCGAATTTCGCGCCCAGGTGAATCAAATCCGCGGCTCGCGGACCAAACCAGAAATTCGCTGGTTCCTGGTAGTCCACTTGCTGCAGCGACAGACTCGTCACAAGAACCTGAAATGGAATTTTCGTAAAACTCAATGGAGACGTTCGTCGCCAGCTAAAAGTACGATGTAACCTATTGCTATGGTTGATAAAATAAGATAAAATCTAGCTTGAGAATATTCCAGTTGAGTTTGGTTATAACAAGAATTAATAAGATTATAATTTATAAGAATTTCGATTTTATTCACTAAATTCTCTGTAGGGCTTGGTAAAATGGGATGTTTTATAAAAGCGAAATTATTAAAAAGAAAAGAACAGTAACACAGATATGGTTATTATAATTGTAAAGTTTTTTAGACATTCAACTCACCAGTCCCGATCTGTGACTAAGATCCATGCCCAGGGGCCCGAAACCATAACACGCTAAAGATATTATCAAAATGAGCACTTGAACGGTGGTGATCCAATACGTAAAGTATGGCCGATGGTCTTCGAAGTCATCCAGCTGCTTTCTTACATCTGGCTTCTGAGAAACACTTTTTCGAAATGATCTTCTGCAATCACAAAAAGACACGTTATTAAGTCTGTTATTACGCTGTATTATTTCGCTTTTAAATCGCAGTAATTTTAAATGAACGGCATTCACGAATGATACCGTTTTTCCCCAACAATTTGACTAAAATGATTTATTTATTTATTAACGGGAGTCAATGTAATTAGCGATGTGTATAATCACTCTGTGTTGGAAAAAAATCATTTTGATCGCTCGAACCATTCAATCGTTCCTGATGCGAACGGCTCGTTTTCATAATAATTCGCATCAATAATACTCCCTAATTATTTGCATGAAAACTGATACAATCTGCGTTAAATAGACTCGTATTTGTAGTAGTCAGTGGCTCCGTTAAAATAGAATGTAAATAATCGTGGCTGTGTTTGTAGTAAATTTTCTCATTTAATTAATTGTACGGAGCATGAAAGTGGAGATGTTAACCTGCATCGGCAGTCTTTTCTACGCTGAAATGAACTACACGTACAGGTTTCATTTGTCATTCAACAAAAAAAAAGTAATTCATAAAAGTCATATTGAAATGCGTTGGGAAAAAAAATTACGACCATTTTTCCCGTGCTTGCATTTATACCGCTATTTTTACACGGTTGTTGTCCGTACACAATAGCTTTCTGCGGTGAATGGGGCAACTTGAGGTAGCATAGATTTACGGACACAAGTGAAGAATCTATAGATTTACACGAATTATCATTACCAGTTGCGTTCGAATAAATACATTTAAAAGCATACGTCTCGATAAATGAAAAGTCGTAGGAAATCAACTGCAATTTGTTTCGTTTCGTATTAAAAAATTATGTAATGTTCAGAAAATGTAATAAATGTCGATGTTTATGCCAGTTTATGAAATTTATATTAAGGCATATTTTGTATTTTGAATGTTGCAACCTGTATTTGATTCCATACATTTGATATATTTATGCATTTTTACATATCCTTGTATATTTCTGAATATTCGTGCGTGATACATCATACGACAAACTGAAAAATAAAACGGGCGAAAACGAACCTTGTGAACTACCTGAAAAATGATTTACCAGAAATTGATAAATGTGTACACTATATAAAAAGAAATCATGATGCAGCTATGGATATGGACTCGTGGAAATTGTTTCCCAACATTTGCACACAAATGTATAGAACGATCGATATTTCCGAGCCATCTGACATTTTTTAAATATCACCGCGCTCTGTCAAGACGCAGACGCCAAGCGTCACGGTTTCATTTCGTTTCTGACATTTGCTGCTCGTCCGCTTTCGCTATTTGTGCATTACGTATATCTCTAACTGGGTCGTAGCTACGCGATAAAACCTTCGCGCGATCGTTAAAGCGGAGCGTAGAAGAGCTCGGGAGAAAGTTATTTTAATAAAGCCGCGTGGAAACGTGGAAATTGCAGAATAAGATGAGTATCGGGTAGACGAATTTCTGGATTTCAATCTCCTCCTGTCGCGCGAATTTCTTGCACCCTGAAATACGGTGGTTCAAGGAACCACAGTAGGTCCACGGGGTCCACAGTATTGTTTAAACCATGGTTTCGCAACGATTTTTAACCTGACGCCTCTTCGAGTGAACTGTCTCTGTTATCAAAATTTCCGAGTACAGGTACTCGCGTTGTTTTTGAATCCCAAAAGTTGAACTTGAAATAAAGATTAAATTGAATTAATGAATAAAATTGAAGGATCTATAAAGTATTAAACTTAAGAATCAATAAAGTATTAAAAATGATACACAAGCAACTCGTTGATGTGTAGACTGGGTCTGGTGTTACGTCAATAATTCCTCTGTACTTGTAACTGTTATTAACCGTTACGAAATCAATTTCTTCATTCGTGTGGAACAACAGTCGTATCAATAGACAATGATTGCCTGATACCTGATAAATGCCAGCACTCGGAATGCTGAAACAAACCGATGGGAAACACGTGATTTTTCCTTGTTTGCACGAATTTATTTGCAGTCACGCGTTGTCGATACGTTCTCCGTGTTGCGTGTAAAT